GGCCCGCGCCCCCACTGCGAGCCGCTTTGGGGCAGCCTCGTCAGCACCCCCAGGCCGGGACTCTGGTGGGGGAAGGGCGGAACCCAGGGCCACCCCCTCACTAAGTGTCCAGGGCGGTCCTGTGGCCACCCACAGCCCAGCGCCTGGGAGGCAGAAGGGGGGCGCAGGCCAGGCCCGTCTCCGGCCGCCAGCACGGCACTGCCATGGGCTAGGCAGCTGCCTCACCTCTGCCCGAGCGGCTGGGCAGGAACGGCCCCACCTGCGTCCCCAGCACAGCCGGGCCGCGGGGCAGCTCCGCTGACCACCCACTCAGTGGCTCGCGAGTCATTCTGACCCAACCGAGGCGCAGGGCGGAGGCCCAGGCCCAGCTGTGGGGGTGCGGCGGGGCCCGCTCCCTGGGCTGCTGCTCCCTGGGGTGGGCGGTGGCTGCAGGTGCAGCTGAGAAGCTGAGCTGCTCGTGGGGCCCCACCCCGGCCCCCCGCTCCCGGCGGCTGTGCGCCCACCTGCCTGCGGACAGGGCAGGCCCTGGGCAGCTACAGGCGAGCCCCGTGCCGGACGGGACATGTGCAGACGGCGCGGGCAGGCTCCGCACCCCCGGGGGCGTCTGCACACTCGGGAGCGCACTCTGCGGGGTGCAGCAGACAGGGAGGGGGCGCCCAGGTCGGGGGCGGCGGGGAGCCCAGGAGGGCGACCTCGGCGGCAGCCTGGCAGCGGCCCCTGCCTGTCGGTTTTATTCGCGACCTCGGGACTCGGTCGTGGTCCGGCCAGAGCACTGGGAGCTCTGAGCGTGGCCAGAGGGGAGGAGCCCACGCAGGCGGCCGCCCGGGCAAAGGGAGGCTGGCGGGCGCCACAGGGCGCCTCCCTCAGGGGCCCGCCCCTCCCGCAGCACCCCGCAGCCCCGCCTGTCCTGCAAGCGCAGAGCAGACAGGCCAGAGCGGCTGGCCTCGGCGGCCGTGCTGCCCACAGGGAGGCTGAGGGGCTTGGGCCTGGCAGGGAGGTGAGGGGCCGAGCAAGGGCCGCAGGGTGGGGGCGCCCCGAAGCCCCCGGGGCGGAGGGAACCTGGGGTGCTCAGGGAGCCCCAAATCCCCGTGTTCACTCAGCCATTGCCCCGGGCTGGCGTGACCTTCAGCTCCCGGTCACGCCGAGAAGTGCCAGAGCCACGGAGTGGGACAGCAGACCCCTGGTCCCTGCAGGGTGCCGGCGCAGGGTGTCCCCGCGGGTCAGAGGCGGCGACTAGAGTCCCGGGCCCCGCTCAGAGGGCTTCTAGAGGCGGCGGTCTCAGCCTCGGGGAACCTGAAATGATCCCACCTCAGGGTGAGGGCCTCGTGGAAACCCCTGTGCCTCTGCCGCTTCCCTCCTGTCCACTCGCCTTGGCCACTCCCCTCCCGTCCACTAGCCTTGGCCACTCACTGCGTCCATTCTCCTTGGCCACTCCCCTCCTGTCCACTCGCCTCCGCCACTCCCCTCCTGTCCACTCGCCTCGGCCACTCCCCTCCCGTCCACTAGCCTTGGCCACTCCCTGCGTCCACTCTCCTTGGCCACTCCCCTGTCCATTGACCTCAGGGCAAGTCCC